GGGTCCAGAAGCAGCCTGCGTTTTTCTCCTCCATTATAAGAGTTCATTTTTCCTTAGAAATTTTCATTTTAAGGGAATAGTACAGAGACTGGGCAGGATGTAGAATTTCTATTATTAATTTACAAACTATAATCAATGTAAAGGACTAAATGAAAGGGCCGCATGGCCATGTCGCAGAGATTTCTTCAACAGGCAAAGCAGCAGCATCGGGCGGCATCTCTCTGCTCCCTGCTGCCTGTCTGGGGACACCTGGAGACCTTGCGCCTGTGCAGCGAAGGGGACGGGCCGGAGCGAGGAGAGCAAGCACACGAGGGAGCCCACGGCCCGGGGTCCTGCCGTGGCGGCCGCGCAGTGATGTGGCGGGACTCCGTTAGGTGCTGTGATGGAAGATGCACCCCTTCAATGCCGAGTCCCCTCCCCAGGCAGTGGGACTGGTGTGTGTCCACTCCTGGAGGTGTGTTCCTCAGATTGGGGTACTTCAAACTGAACAACTTGGAGTAATCTCTATTTTCGTCACAGATACATAGAGGTGGCCTTGTATGGATCGTTGAGGGAACGGAGGCTGCAGCCTGCCCCCTTACGGTCCAGGGAGTACGCACAGCGTGGCTCCCCAGCTCCGTGATTCTGAAACCGTTGTCACCATTGTGTCTCCACAATTTCTGTTTGTGTGATGCTCATGCAGCAGCCGATGAAGTGAGGCTGGCGTCCTGTGCATCCCACGTCTCAGAGCAGGAAGACGACGCAGGAGAAGGGAAGCGATTTGCCCAAGGTCAGAGCAGTGGAGGAAGGACAATGGACCCTGGGCTGCTGCTCCTGCCCGGGGCGGAGCTTGGACTCCAGCCCGTCAGGCCGTGGCAGCGCGAACGCCTGTGGACGTCCTAAGGTGCACCTTGAAGCAACCGGCGCTTTGGTTGGTCCCATGAACGCTCAGTCGTGAGCCGTGCTGCTTTAGCAACAGCTTGGCTGCGATGAGACACAGACTTTGTGTGGACAGTTTCTCTCCAGACGTGTTCAAAGACTGTCCGTACAGGTGGGCTGCCAATGGCCAGTTTCCCTTCAGACCCGCGTGTGCACAAGAAACCACGTCACTGATCCTAGTGTTTCCAACCAGACACATGGTCGAGCTTCCCACATCTTACTTTCAAAATGTAAGCTTAGCATCATCAGAGCACACCAAGGGAAGCAGTCAAAATGAAGACTGAAAATGCGGATGGTCACAGCAATGCAGTCAGCAAGCACACGGAGAGCGTCCTTCTCCCTTTCTCTCCACCTGTAGCTCCGTCTGCCTGGAAGGCTTTCAGCCCCACCTGGACCTGCACTTTCTTCCACCTCACCGGCCTCCAGCTCCCCGACGTCACGTCTGCCCCAAGGCCGCCCTGACCTCTCGTCCCAGGAGGTTCTTGCTTGCTGGCTCGCTGGGACCTGTGGTCCCGTCCCATGAAACACCTGACAGACGTCAGCCTCCTGGTTTCTCGCGCCCGTTCAGCTCTGGGCTGGACTGTGAGCACCAAGAAGTCAGAGCCTGCTCGTCTTATCAGTCCTGGCATCTACAGTGTTTGACACATGGTGTGTGCTAATAACCAGACGTTGAGTAAGTTAGTATAGTCGCCAATCATCACCTGGTGTGTCGGGCACAATTTTGAAGGCTTGTTCTGAGCATGTTATCTTATTCAGTCCTCACAAGAACTGTCACGTTGGCACTGGTGTCACCACCTCACAGATGAGGCACAGAGAGGTCAGGGGGTGTGCCCAAGGTTGCACAGCCAGCAAGTGCTGAAGCCAGGATTGAGAATTAGGCATTGTGACTCTAGGTGCTGTGAGTGGATGGATGAGTTTGCTGGAAGCCAAGAAAAGAATCAAAGTTGAATATACATTATAGTTTTCATCTCAGTTCCTCTGGGAAACAAACGTCTCCTGGGTCCTGGTTTCTGAGGGGAATCTGTCAGGGTACGGCTGCAACGACCTAGCTGTGCACATCTTGAGGGTCGATTTTGTGGAGATTCTCTTAGTGTCTGCTCTGCTGACGGCCCTCGGAGAAGCCTGGAACACCGCCTTAGCTCACACCTCGAGGGGAGCGCAGCTGCGTGAGGCTGGCCACTGTGCTGAGGGGAGTGCCCTGCTGCCAGCCGCGTGGTCAGGATCAGGACGTCCCGGGGGCACAGGGACCGCCCAGGCCTTGCATGTACAGTGGCTTCACCATCAGGGACCCCCTCAACCTGCCCTTCTGGAGAGAGGTCCTGGGTCATCGCCTCTCAGATGCTCCTGCTTGCTCGTCTGCTGCGGGGGAACTTGAGAGCAGCTGCTCACAATTAAGCGCCCCACCTTTGTAGACGGCTCCTGCTTTCACTTGCAGTTTAAGAGCCTGAGCTCCCTGGGCCACCACCAGGCAGCGAGCTTTCTTAGCCGGGCGCGTGCCTCCTCCCGCGGCCTTTGCTCCTCCGTGCAGGGGGAGAGCCCTCACCCTGGGCCACACTCACACGGCCCCCACTCTCTCGCGGGTTCCTCTCTAGAACCAAGGCGCCCAGGGTCCGGGACCCATCGCTGTTGGCTACGGGTAGGGATCAGTTCCTCTTGGATCTTTATCTCAGCTTCCCTACTTTTTAAAAAAATTTATTTTTTTTAAATAAAGACCAACAAGGAGAGGCAGCACTAAGTGGCCATGGGAAGAAAACTGGGCATGAGTCCCGGGTGCAGTCCCACCTCCAAACCCCGCGCTGCCTCCGCAGAGTCTCGCTCGGCCGTGAGTCATCCGTCAGACCGAGGAGTCTGGGTGGACGGTCTGTCGGCTCTTCCAGCTCTGAAATTCTGCGGCTGCGTTAGAAATGTCTTTGAACCCGCCAAGCCCTCAAGAGTTTGTTCTGGTCTAGAGAGTTGTTTTAATTTCTGTTGCACTCACACTTCAGTGTTCCACTGATGAACGGTTGAGGAGTTTCTCCGCGGCAGGCCCCTCGCCGAGCGTTTGGCCTCCATGAACTTCTCTCGTCCTCACAGTAACCACTGCTCCTCCGTCCTTCAAGAGAAACACCCAGGCCCGCGACCTATGACTCGCCCAGTTCACACGGAGGGTTTATGGTCAAGCAAGGCCAGCCCAGTGTCCTCTGCTCCGCGGGGACCAAGGCAAGAACGGAAGCTCGGGTTCTGTGGTCGTCCTTCCCTCCCCGGCACATTCACAGGATGGACACCCAGCTGGCTTGATGCTCTGTTTTTAGTGAGTGGATCTCAAACATCTCAGATCTTCTTCCCCTGAGGAGCTCATTCTGGAGACATGTTCTGAGCTCCCTTAGCCGAAGCTGGGTGTTTTTATTTATTTATTAGTTATTCTTCTAAATGAACTATGTTAAGCCATAGAAGCTACTGTGGAAACATTTGTTGGTGTGCTTTTTCCAGAATCAAGTCATAGTCCGTGTGCATCCATGGGAAACAAACGAGATGTGTTCCTGGTTACTGGTGTCATCTACCTTGTTAAAATTACCCGCTGGGTCTGGGTTTCTTTCTGTTTTTAAGATTCTGAGAAAACTTGGATGGATTTTTAAACAAACTCATTGTTTGAAAACCACCCGTGAGCCACTGGGCGAGGCAGACCGTGGGGAGGACGGCGGTGCAGATGCAGTCGTGGTTTCTCTCCTCTCTTTTCCACCTGCTGGAGACCTCCTCCCCTCACAGTCGGCCCTTTTGATCCCAAGTTCACCTTTTTTGCTCCTTGTCCCTCGGGGTGCCCGTGACCCGTTGATCTGACAGAGCCGAGGGGTCATGTAGGACGCCGGCCCCAGTCAGCTCCCTCCTCCAGGCCCCTGTAGGGTGGTGCCTGTTCTGGGACCTGAGGAGGCTCGGGAGCACAGTCACGTCTCCCAGGAGCACGGAGCCAAGAGGAGGGACTTCCTATGTGGTGGCAGCTGGCTTTCCGGGCATCTTTAATGCCAAGGAAAGTGGCAGGAAACATGCGAGTGCTCTGTGGTCTTTGGTGTTGCCGAGGTGCTGCAAGGCCTTGACGGCCGGGACAAGCGGATGTGGCCTCCCCTGGACCCGAAATGACAGCCAGGGGCACAGGGAACCGGGCAGCTCTCAACGCCTCCTTCTTCCCGTGAATGTGCTTTGAGCTGCTCTCCTGGGCCCAGATTGTTATACACTTTTTCCTGATATTGCTTTATTTTGATGGCTCGGGTTACAGTGATATTTTCAGTGGGCAAAAGGATGGAATTCATCATTCCGTGACTGCTGGAATACCTCCCAAATGCGATTTTGTCAGTCAGAGCGGTGGGCCGCATCCGGCTGGATCCTCAGTGACGATCAGTAGCTAACGTCCCTTGAATCTGCACATATGAGCTGGCCTGTGCAGGGCCGAGGCCAGCGCATCCCCCCTGGCCCTGGCGTGGTTGAACGTCGCCCGTGCGAGGCGGCCGGGATGCTGCCCTGACCTCACGGAAGTGCGTGAGGCTATCCTGTCATGATTTTCCTTGAGACTAGAGACTTCGCCTTCAGTCGTGTACTCGGAGAGCAAACCATTCCCATTAACCACACTTTCCTCTTCACGTGTGGTGCTGTTTATTCTCTCCTGTGGCGGCTTTCATCGGTTTGTGTGTTGTTTTGGGAAAAAAGGGAAAAACCAAAAAGAGCTTTTTTTCCCTAAACACCCTGACTGTGGCAGCAGTTTCTGTCCTTCCTTGAGCGGTGTCAGTCCCCTCCTCCCACCACGGCCTGCGCTCTGATGAGGAGGAAAGATGCCTAACTTCGCTGATGCTTTATCCTAAGGATGTTCCCACGTGACCGCAGAGTTGGGTCCAGCGGCCCCTTTTTCTGAATCTGTGGGGGGCGTGTGTGTGTGTGCGTACATGTGTATGCTGTGTGTGTTTCTGCGTGGTGTGTGCGCGCATATGTGTGTGTGGCCTCAGGGCAAATTTTCCCCATGTGCACCGTGGCTCTCGGGCCAGGCAGGCAGATGGGAGGGAGGCCGGCCACACAGGCGCACGGCAGCCCTGACTCATGCCCTCGCTGTCTTGCAGGAGCTGTGCCGGCAGCGCATGGCCGTGCGCACGTCCGACCGCCCCGAGGCCCCGCACACGTCCCGCATCAGCAGCGTCTCCTCCCAGTTCAGCGATGGGCCGATGCCCAGCCCGTCTGCACGGAGCAGCACCTCGTCCTGGTCCGAGGAGCCGGCGCAGCCCAACATGGACATCTCCACCGGCCACATGGTCCTGGTAAGGCCGCTGTCCTCTCCATGGGGAAATGGGTCCAGACAGTCTCTCTGCGAGGGGAGCGAAAGTGAGGGGTTCGTGGCAGCCCCCTCTCCAGCACAGGCTCACTCCCCATGGCCTCTGCACGGTGCAGCCACGGCCTGTTTCATAACCATCACTGACCGAATCTGACCCGTCGGGCAGCTGATAGGCAGGAGGTGCCAGCCCCAGTGCCGGGTCCTGCGTACCACCCCTCAGCTCATGCAGGCACGGGAGTGTGCATGCGCTGGGGCCTTCTCCACACTCCACTCCGGACACCCAGCCTCACGCACACTGAATCGGGAGACTTTGCCCAGGTCGTGCTAGGTGCGCATGGATTAGCACCTACTGTGTGCACTGCTCTCTCAGCCTCTAATAGACAGCAGCTTTTTCCTGGCTCACAGAGCATTGTTTGGGGGCATACATGTCACACACATGCTGCTTATCAGGAAAAGTGACGCCAGGGAGAGGTGAGGGCTTAGAGCTCGGCTCCTGCATGAGAAGCCTTCCTGGGGGCCTCAGTGCAGAAGTCTCCTCGTGGTGAACCACTCGTTGTCCTGCCCTGTCTCCCCTGAGCTGAGGTCGTCCTCACAGGGCCACCACGGGTGCCTGGGCACTGCCACTTGGGGCATCCTGAATGTCCAAGTTTTATTAAGAGAGAGGTCCGTAGCTCAGTCTTTCTTACTGACCGTCTCCGAAAGACAGGAGAACACGGTGCCCCTGGATCTCCAGGCCACGGGCGCCTTCTGTGTAGTGACTGCATGCCGGCTGTGACTCCTCACGCTGGGGAGGGGCTTCCAGATGAGGGGCAGAGCCCAGTTTCCTTGTTTCTCAGTGTGGGACTGGCCCTGCCAGTTGTTGTTGCTAAACATTTATTGTTGTGGAAAACTTTTCTTACTTGTTTATTTAATAACAACACAGACTGTGGAATTAGACCACAAAAAGCCAATGTCGTAGTCCATGCAGGCTGCTGTAACAAAAATACCGCACACCCAGTGGTTTATAAACAACAGACACTTATTTCTCAGGGTCTGGAGCCTGGAAGTCCGAGATCAAGGTGCCGGGGGATGCGGTGTCTGGTGGGTGCTCTCTTCTGGTCCTCACTGTGTCCTCACATGGCAGAAGGGCCAGGCACTGTCTGGATCTCCTTCATGAGGGCACTAATCCCATCATGAGGGCTCTACTCTCGTGACCTCCTCACTCCCAGACCCCGCCTCCCAATACCATCACATCGGGCGTCAGGATGCACCACGTGAATTTTGAGGGGATGCAAACCTTCAGCCTATAGCAGCCAGGAAACCATGTTGTCACTATAAAGCCCCATTGCAGAGCCTGGAACCCAAGCCTGGGGACACCCTGACGACCTTGGTGGGGCTGAGTGCATCCCAGGGCGGCTCTCACTCCTTGAGTGTCCGAGGCTATGGCGCAGGAAGCACACGAGGTGAGGGACGTGGGGACACTGATGAACCTGGCCCTGGCCTCAGGGATAACTTAAGATGCAGCAAAGTCGAGAAGTTCAGCTTTACGGATCTGCTGAGCTGCGATGACTAGTCCGTCTTCTCTGCTGTCTCTGCCTTCCCCTCCCTTCCCGTCAGACCTCCTGGCCTCCCCAGGACGGAGAGCGCTCCTGCCTGAGGTTGCCTGCTGCCGATGCTCTTCCCGCTGACGCGTCTGGGCTCAATGGAGACGCCTTGCGTCTCCCACACTCCGGGGCAGACAGCTCGCTGCTCACGTAGCAAACCTTTCCTGGGTTGCTGCTGTGTGGCCACCAACTTTGACAGACCCTCTTCTCTTGATACATGGCACTTATATTACTTTAGATCTAAATTTTCAGAAAATATTTCCACATTTGTCCCATTTAGAAAAGGAAGCGCCACCAAAAGTTGAGCTTTCTAATGAGATTCAGTCTTGGGGCCAAACACATTAGCCCAGTGTTTATCTGACGATGGCTGAGGGGAGATGCGTTTAGAGAGCTTTTATTGTATTCTGGTATTATCATATTTCAAGACACTTGAGCTACAATTTGATGATATCTCAAGTCCAAATGGGAAATGAAAATATTGTATTTTTCACAGGAAATTGTGTTTGGCCGTTCACATGTACAGTGGCAAATGCGAAAGGGAGCGTTGTGGTTAATTGAAACGCCTCAGCTCAGGAGCCGACTCAGCCTTTGCCCGGCCGGCCAAATCTTTGTTAGCCTGACAGGAGGTGTCCCCTTTTAGAGGTCATTTAATGCCCCAGCCTCTGACGGGGGCGTGTCTCTAAATGCTCCTCCACCTCACCCAGTGGTCCTGCGAATCTAGAAACCCATTCAGACGTAGAATTTGGGTTCGGCCACCTCCCTGGACTCCCTCTTACAGACTGTGAACTCAAGGGTCTTTCTCGATAACCAAGGCTCTGCTTAAGTTGGATGTCTCCAAGTGCATGTCCCCGACTCCGAGGAATCGGGCGGTGGAGCTCCAGAGCTGGGGGCGCGTGGTGGAGGGTTGTGCACACTGAAAGCCGAGCGGACCCGCCCTGAGCGTGGGCCTCTGCGTGTCTTCTCCTCACGCGAGTCCTGGTGTTCTGTCCTTTCCCCCAGCATCACAGATGAGCGTCTCTCTCAACCCCGGGGTCATCCTCATCCCAAGCATTTTCCCTCGTATGGGAGCTGAGGGACTTGGAGGCGTGTGGCGTTTGCGAGCCCCATTTAGCATTTTCACAGAACTTCTCACCCACTGAAAGTAGGTGAAATGACTCATCTTTTAGGCCTGGAACCCGCAGCCCATTCCCACGGGTAAGGCCGTAGAACACATTCTGATGATTAGACCAGAGTCGTGTTCCAAAGCAACGGGCTCTCTTATTGCCTCGTGGACGGCACTCTCCCTCTCGGCGCAGGCTGTGGAGAGCCTGGTGTGTCAGGACCTCAGGAACGTGCCGGGATAGCTGACCTTCTAACTCATTAAGGCTACAAGGAAGATAATTCTTCAGTGATCAGTCACCTCGACCCTCTAAGAGAACTTCCGTGTTTACCAGACAGCTAACATCATGCTCGTCCTGAACTACACGCCAAGGACTCAGAGACCATCAGATAAATTATGCAGGGTCCAGGCACAGCCCAGGAACCAACTGTTCCTGATACTCAGCTGCTCCCACGAGCATCAGGCAGATGTGACATTTCGACTTAAAGTTCTGATGAAATCAACAGCAAGCCTGTTTACATTTGGACCACAGGATGGAAGCAAGGAGGACCCCACAAAGGAGGAAGGATGTTGGCCAGGTTACCTGGAAAACATACTCGTCACCAAAGCCTGTTGCCACTGTGCAAAATTGGGACATTTTCTTTAGCAAAGGACAGAAAGCATTTTTGAAGGAGTAAGTGGCATAGGAACTTAAAAATCTCGACCCATCACACTGAGTACCATCGGGGGCTGACCTGGCGAAGGCGGAGCTGAGGCCTTAGGAGATGCCCTCAGACCCCGAGCACCCTTCTCCCTCTCCTGGTCACTGTCACTCCTTCCACTGTGGTGTGGGAACGGGGCATGCTGTTGACAGTGCAGATTCTGGGGTCCCATAAACTTGGGAGCAAACTGGGAAGCTCAGCTGCTTCCTGCTTCCATGTCCCTGGACAAATCCTTAACCTCTGTTTTCTCATCTGCAAAACAGGCTTCGTAATCATGCTTCCTATTAGGGTTCCTGTGAGAGTCAGACAAGATGAGCATGTAATGCTGCGCGTTGTAAACCTCACAGGTGTCATTTACCGCAACTGTAATTATTAAGCTGGACAGGATGATGGCAAAGAAACAGAACCAACTTTATTTTGATGAGATTAAGGGAAAAATGGCCGTATCTACAGGGAAAATGTCACATCTACCTGGAAACTGGCAGCCCCGGGTACAGAGAGAAGGGTGCATTTGGGAACTTGTAGGATTGAGAAGTGCGAGCCCAAGAAAGGGGGTGCCTGGGAGGCTGGGACTGTGGACTCTTCTGTTCGGTAAGTTGAGGCCACGCTGGGTGTGAGAAAGGTGGCAGGTGAGGCTGGCCTGGCCTGGGCTGGGAGCTCCACGGTGTTGGCAGAAGGAATGGAGGAGCTGGGAGGGAGATGGGAGGGGCACACCACCATACGTCTCTGCAGAAGTGTTCAGGAGGCCCTGTGGCCGTGTCTGATCAGGGCCAGTCCAGGACTCTGAGGAACAAGTGACCGTGTTGGAGTAGCTCTGGAACTGTTATGAGCATGGCCTCTTAAGAAATTCCATCGCATCCTTCAGGTAAAGAGTCACCCTTGACATTGTCTTTTAAAAGGATCTGTGTGGGTATCACATTCATTTCAGAAGACCGATGTTTCAGCGTGACTGCTTGTAGGCGGCGCCGAGAGCAGATGTCCATCCTGAGTACTGACCCGACAGGAGCCGGTGCGAAGCAGCCTCACAGGAAACACACTCGCACACGTGTTTGCAGAGAGGAGCTGCGAGGACACGTCTCAGACTCTGCATTCAAGGGCTGGAAAGCTAGACAAGAACAGTGTTTGGGGAGCGGGAATATGAAGAAAAAGTTGGATAATACTCTCTCCACTAGATGTGAGGAATGTAGAACTTGATTCAGGAAATGGTGCTGCAGAGTCCTTTTAAAAAAGACCTCTTCACCCTGTTGAAGGGGCGAGCATGGGCTGCAATTCCTGCCTGCCCTTTGTTCCTGGAAAATGCGATCCGACTACAGACGAACGCCACTGAGAGTTTATGTGATCATGTGAGACCCACTGTCAAGTAGGAGCTGCTGCTGGTGCCATTTCATAGACAGAGACGGTACAACTGAGAGCAGTGAGGTAAATGCGTGAAAAATGAACAGTCACGACGTTGCAAAAAGTGACCAAAGGCTTCATCATAGAAGACAGGGAGTGAACGTCCCCGAAGCAAGAAGAGTTTGGGGATGGCTGGGAGCTAAAGGCCCCCGGGGGTAAAGTACGGGGTGGAAATGGCCTGGCTGCGGCACCCAGGACCAGCTCACGT